CCACCTTTCCTCAGGAGGACAAGGAGTGCAGCTAACCGCTGTGAAGCCTCCGTCTTCAGCTCCGGTGTCACCAATGCTTCTGAGAAAGATCACTCTTTTAGGCTGTGAAGTGGGGTTTGGGTCACCTCAGTCCTGTCATAAAGAATCCATAGGAGGAAACAGAGGGATCCTGGGGCAGAGACCCTAGTTACTTTGGCGGCAATGGATACTCCTAGAAGTTCAACACTTGGGTTGCATGAAGTTCAAAGGCTATTCTGCCTTTTGCCACACATTTCTTCTTTTTTTCCCAAGTCAGAGTGAAGAAAGTAGGGGGGGGGGAAGTGTAAGCCTAGGGAGGACTGAGGAGGACAATCATGTCTGCAAAGCAGAAATGTCACCCTTTTAGCCGCTGAGGCTCACAGCTCCCCCTCCCTCTACAGTCACTGCAGGCTGGTGGAGTCATGGCTCTGGAAGACGCAGGTGACTGCTTTTATCTGGCTGTCTTCATCAAAGGTCAGTTTTCTGGGATCACTGATAAAGAAGAGTGGAACCTATGAGTCCTATCAGAGCTCTGAAGGAGTTCGTTGGCTACAAGGTGGCCTCCTGACCACAATTTCAGACCCTGTCACCCAGGCTCCATGAGGCTGCAGGAGCTTTCCATCAGCTTTGGTTCTCCTGCTGTTTCCAGACACACTCAGGCAAACAGTGCTGTGCTACAGACACAGGCATGTTAGTCCTATACTCCTCCTGGTCCTTTTCTGATGTCACAACACTTACAGCCTGTAAGGCATTTTCCCAGTCTGGCAGTGACCTCAACCACATCCAAGCATCTTATGCACTCCCCCTTTTCCAGACAGGTTAACTGGGGGCTGTGTCAAAGTTTTGGAATGATGCACCCACCAGGCCCAAACAAGGCGGAACTCCACGCACTGTTTGCAAGCACTGCCCTCGTATGGAGCTGGGCCGAAAGGCACTTGTTTTAAGCTGTGGGTGTCAGGACGGTCGGCCTGTGATGATTTCTTATTTTCACCTCCTCTCCCTTGGAGAGGGACTGAGTTTGAGTTCAAGTGCACAGACCTCCCATTCTGTACACTGGGGAAGGAGGTCGGCAAACCCACCTTTCCTGAATGGGGAAATTTCGTACTATCATTTTTCTACATTAGTGTCTCCAGTAGTTTTTTGTTTGCCATACATACCAATCAATGTTCACCTGGCCCAGTTTCTCTCTGGCTGACACCATCATCAGAATTGAGGGTCATCTCTGCCAGGGTGAGTGTAGTGCCTAGCACACAAACCTCTGCACAGGGTGGTGGAGGGGAAGGCGCTG